ATTTTCCCTGAAACTCACTTAAAAGTTTAATTCTAATGGGACGAATGGTAGCGTAAGAACGACCCTGCTCTGCAAGTTCTAAAGCCTCACCATAAGTGACGTTTCTTATTTCTCCAGCCTCTTCCTCCTCGGCTCCGTCAGAGAAAAAAGGGTTGTAAATCCTAATAGTATCTTCAACCGAATTTACAATTTCCCTAACCTGAAAGTTTGAAAAGTTTATGCTTTTAAGAACAAAAAAGTTAAAACTTTGCAAACTTACCGGTCTCCATTTCAAATAAATCAAAGCAGACAAGATGGCAAGCAACAAGACGCAAAAGATGACCAATCCAATCAAAAGGTAAAATAACCAAGTATGACCCGATTGTTTGGACTCATACGTGACCATCACCCTTTCAATTGGCTCATTCATCTCCACCACCAACGGAATTTCCGGCACTGGACCAGGAACAAAAACAGTGGAAGTCGGTGCTGAAATGGTTGTTTGCGTCGTGGAAACGGAAGTGGACACCTCAGTGCTCATCTCCAAAACCACTGACGAATCAACGGTTGTATAGTCTGTCATGGGAGTAGTTGAAAAAGTTTCTGAAAGAATTTAATGTAAATTTTAGAAAATCAAGTTGATTACAAGAAAGTCAAAAGACTCACTCGTGGAAACTGTTACAAAAGTTTTACTGGTACTAGTAGTTTTTGCCTTGTCCATTCCTTGACAGTACCACCACGGGGTGACGATTTTCTGAACTCTTTCAGTCACAGTGCCTCGACACCAAACTTGAGTGGTCAATGTAACTTTCTAAAAATAGCGGAAACTAATCATTTCTATTCTTCCAGATGTTGAAAAGAAAAACCAACCTTCAAATGCCGCATCAAGACACACTGCAAGTTCAGGACCCGTCCGACAAAAATCACCTCGTCGTTGTAATACGAAGCGTACCGAGCCTCGCAAATATCTTCGCAGTAATACTTATCGCCGACGTTAACGCAGTCATCGTTCCACGCGAAAACGACAACGAAGAAGAAAACTAGACTCGCGATCTTGAACATTTTATTGAACTGACTTATGTTGACTTGGTTTGATTTTTACGCGAGTTCGGTTTACTTAAGCGAAGACGCGAAGCGACAGTGTGGCTCTTGAGAGAAGTCTATGGAAAACGAGAACATTCCAATTTAAAAATTAATGACAATTCTCTGAGTACAAAAATTGTCCTCAGAAAAAATCACAGAGAAAAGCCAAGAAACCACCCGAATGGTTGGAAGAAACGAGACTGAACCGTTACTCAATCGATAGCGGGTCTCGCATATGGATAATTCTTCGACTGTTTACAGTCAAGTAGATCTGTATGAATTCCTGCACACCTCAAATGAGGGTGCTGAAAAGGAATCTGGCTTGTGAATATCGCGCATGCCTAGCGTGCGGAGAAAATAAGAGGACTTATTTTTTTTTTATTGTCCGCGGAGAATTTGTCATGGTAAATCAGATGTTCTCTTTAACCTAGCAGACGACGCTCCAAGCAGCCGCGTCGTCTCTCGCCGCGTCACGCCTTGCTGCGTGCCGCCTCGCCGAGTCACGCGCCGAGGGTTACGCAACCCTCTCCCGAATGAGGTCAGATCCGGGTCTGACCATGCTTGCGAAATACTGGCCGTCCGAATCTATATATTCGCTTGCTTTTACTTTGTCGCGCGCTCATTGCTGTCTAGACTCTTGTTCTAAACGTACTTGCTGTTGAATACGAAATAAAGCTGTAATACATTTTGTACTTGAGGAGTTTATTGAATTACCGAACCCGGCAACAGGAATAAGAAAATCTCCTCACAATAAATTGTCTGAGTTGGTTAAGTTAAAGGCTTGCGACGGTAAGTCATACAATCGAAGGTTTAGAGACGTTTAAGCTGAGAGGTTGTAAACCATCATTTTAACTAATTTAGACAACAGTTGTTTTATGATGATTAACAGAAAAGGGAACATCTTGTTATAGGAAAAGTATTCAAACAGCGACTTCCACGTTGATTGTATTTAGTGATAATGTTACATTATTTAATTTTTGAGCACAACCCCCTTTTATGAGAGTTATTGCTTTGCAGAAAAAATTACGGCATATATTATTATATTTATAGTGAGACCCTGCGGATATAATTGGTTCATCAAGAGTGTCCTGATGTCAGAATGTCCTTAAGTCGAGTCTCATTTTTGCTTAGACTTAATTCAACGCTCAAGTATTTAATTGGCTGTCTTTCTTCTAAAAAGATTAGAAATAAGTCTTCGAAAAAAATGAATAGAAATTGTTTTCCTCAACTTAAAGTTGTAGAAAACAACAGTGAAGAACAAAACCACATTGAATCTGATCTTTTGGTATCAAAAGGAGATCAAAAAGCAAAGAAAAAGAGTAAGTCTTGCTAGAATATTCAGATGATAGAAAAAAACTCAGACAAAGAAGCACAAAATCAACTTGCTTTTTATTATGATTTAGAGTGAATTTATCATTATTTTTTGTGAATATAAATACCTTAGCTTATTTCTTCAAAAGATATCAAAATTTAAAAAAAAACGTTTCAAGTTTTTGGGAAAATTTCAGAAAAGCGTCCCAAGTGTTTTCCTAAGTCGAATTGTCCGTATGTCGGGTGTCCACATCATTGGGGCCTCACTATATTTTCATCAATTTAGTCAGCAGAGCAAAGTTTATTCTATCCAGCTGGATTATCCCTGAAGCTTTAAATCTTCCCCTTAAATCCCCTCAGAGGGTTTCAATTTCAAGCTGTTAGCTGAAAAGTCATGCAGTTATACAGGCTTGGACCAGTTTTCTCTGAGCCATACAGATTTCACAGATCTTTATTGATTTTCTGTTAAACGAAAATGTATTTTATCACATTTTTAATAAGATTGATTGTTCCGTTTTGCATAAACTTGATTGCAAATCTCTTTGAGCAGTGATAAACGGGGAAAAGGCTTCGTTCAACACTCCGACATTCGCTCAGAAGCGGGTACGAACATTGGACATGCTCTTGAAGGACATGTATGGCGAGCACATGACGGATCTCAAGGGTGTAAGTGGAGGAAAACTTTCCCGTCTTCTCAGTGTCCATCTTTTGTCGCCATGTGCTTTCTTCCGTTTCCGCTTTCAACTTCCGGCCTCTCTATATACGAGGGATCTAACAAATGTTCTGAGATCAGGAGCTGAAACGACATACGATTGAGCTGAAATTAATCAATGTCTAAAAGAACATTCTTTGAAAAAAATATTCAGCTCTGTTTTAAAAAAATTTAAAATTTTAAAGTCACTCTATGATGGCAGCTTTCTGCCTTTCACTCAAAAAGATGCGGCTCATATATTTTAAAAATATTCGGATATCCAGATTTTCCTTCAGAATTCGTGAAATTTATCTGGCAGCATTAGTTCCAAGGGCTGCCGCTATTAATTGATCATTAGTTTCGCCATTTTCATCAACAGCCGCACCTTGAGATGATAATGTGAACGCTCTTGTTGAAATAGCGAAATTTCCTTGGAAAACCTGGAGGCAAAACCCTTGGAATTAATGACATGTCTATTTCAAAAATTCTGAAGGAAAAGCACAGAGTTTAAACCACAAAAACTGTGAGATGGGCGCTTCATATTTTGAGTGAAGAGCCGAAAGCTGTCAGAGTAACTTTTGCGAAACAATTACATAAAATATGCCAAGCAGGGCAGGATTTTTTTTCTTGTGCCCAAGAATTTTTTTTTTAACAATAATGTGTTTTACAGGTGAATAAAACGTCTCTTAGCTGTACATCCCGAGACATTTTGTTATAACCCTTTTATTTGAGAAAGGACGCATTTCTCGAAAATTTCCTTTTTATTCAGAGGGAAAGTTGTTTCGAATGCTTTCGAAAGATGCATCGTAAATTTCATGCAAAGAAGCTCATTTTCACGTCTATGACCTTTATTTGTGCAGAGGTTCTGGATGATAAGTATGATGCACACTCAAATTTTTGAAGAAATGAATCTTTGTACTTTTGTATAATAGACAGGCTGACCTTATTTTGAAAATTTTGTGTGCGTAGTACTCCAATATATTATTTTAATGCATTGTGTTTTTATCTTTGAACATTTCTCATCCAGATGCTGAATCGAAGAGCTTTCAGCGATGTTTTGCCTGATCCTCCGAAGTTGTCCAGACGGAAAGAAGATGCTCGGCAAGTAGAATTTGTCCGTATTGGACAAGCGCTCAAGTTAGAAACGATCGTCAAAGGAGACGCACCGACTAGTTTGGCCACGACTAGTCTGCTAAAGCGAATCGTGAGTTTTAATTTTTTTTTCTGCATGTAGAATTCAACAATTGCAAGTTTTCTTCCACTTTGGTGTTTATTCAGATTTTAAATGCTGCGAGTTTAAAATATTCTCTCATTTCTGAGGGTAGACGAACAAATGGGCCTGTAATTGAACTCGTGTGATTTTATTTTTGAACACCCGCGCCGATGTTTGAGGTTTGGTTCATTTTACTTGAAATTATACTTATTTCTGATTTCAGCCGTGGGAACCACTTTGCATATACCCAGATTTTCCGTACGACATAATTTGCGGGGATTCTTGGGGCGACAATCGACTGTTTTTGGCGACTGAATTAGGCACATACGTTGTCGACGGTAAGTAAAAACGCATTTCCTGTCAAATCCCGGATAGTTCGGTACAAAAAAAAAAAAAAAGATGCATAACCGACAGTTATTAACCATCATTATTTTTCATGAAAAGATCATAGAATTTCAATTTTACTTCTTTGATGATGTTTTCCATGTGCGTTTGACAAGAAGATGAAGGAACGCACAGGTGCGTTTTTGACAAAACTGTGCAAGCAAAGCAGCTCAGTGTGGTGGAAGATCACGGCATTTTGCTCATTCGTGCTGACAAAGGTGAGTTTATCCAAAATTGGCAAACAACAATTTAAGACATGCAAATGTGCAAATGTGCCTTCTGTCGATTTTTCGAGATAAAATTTTGAAAGAATTTCTGGAATGAGAATTAATTCGAGTTTACGCAATATTTTTGAAAAAAAGTAAATGTATGTATACTCATATATTCAACATGAAGTCTTTTGTGTGTCTTCTGTCGAACTTCCAACAGATCGGTGTTGACTGAGAATTTTTTCGAATGATAATTCGAGTTGATAATTTTTTTTTTTAATAAACATCCTGTGTGCAATTAATGCATGTATACTTCGTATATTATTTGAGCATGCTGTCTTTTCTTTTGCCTTCCGTCGAATACATCCACCAGATCGGTGTTGAATGAGAATCCGAGTTTACCCAAAATGTTTGAAAAAATGACAAGAGTAAATGTATGTACAGTACCTGTAGTGTACTCGCATATTCAACATATGCTGTCTTTTGTGCGTGCCTCCTGTTTCGGCGTTTCGACAGGTCGTGACGGGAAAATATTCGTCTTCCGATTATCCGACTTCGAAAGGGACTCGTTGGAAGAGCCGCTGAACAAGCAAGACATCCGGGATCATCGCCTGGAGCGAACAAAGGGCTGTCACCTTTTCGCATTGTCCCGACCTGGCGGCGCTCATCTCCGCATGGTGAGTCTGTGCCTGCTGCCTTGTGCTTCCATGCTGCTGCTGCTGCACATGTCCTTCATACTTATGTGTATATACCTATTCCCCTGCTGCTGTCTACATACTTACAGCAACATACCTTATCTTATTCTAACCAACCCTGCCTTGCATGCTATACAGCGAAAAGAGGGGGGTTGACTGCACCAGCGTGGAGAAACCCCCCTCATCGTGTGTATAGCAGCTTCTGATGCTGATGATGATGAAAATCGATGGCGGATGTCTTAATATCATACGCGAATCAGCGTTGGGGAAGGGGAAGGACGGGGGTTTTAATCATCGTGTGTCCCGTATTTTCTGAGCCTGATGTTCAGCAATTATCCGAGTGTGAATTGTGCAATTTTTCCCGAGACGTGCAATTTTTTTGGGTGGAGATTATGAGGATTTTTAAATAATTTTTACGCACGCAGCCACCAATTGAACAGCCCTGCTCAATAAATTCATTTCTTATTGCGCATGAAACGCACTTTCGTTATAGTGTCTCCTGTGATGAAGATAAGACTATTTTCTGCATGCGCTCCATGCTCAGCAATTACCGCAGTATGAATTTTGCAATGTCTGCGAGACGTGCAATTTTTTGGGTGGAGAGTTTGTGGATTTTTAGACACAGTAATTTTTAAACACGCCACCAACAACTGTATATGATACTCGTATATGTATCCCGGAGCACTTGTGAAGTGTACAGTACGACCAAAAAGTGAACCAGATGCTCATCATCATCATCATGATCCCTGCGCCACGAAAATGAGAAAACTTTTCAAATCTCGTCCTTGCCTTTGAGCCAAAGGTGCAGACGAGCATCACGGACTCGGTTTCCTGCAGCTGAAATTGCAGCAGGATATAAGTTGGCAGAGCTTGAGAGACGACGAGGTGCATCAGCTGCATCAGCAGGAGTTTCCTATCTCGAGCTGCGCGCAACTTTTAAGATCCGGGCGGATGATACCCGTGCTGTTTCCTTGACGAGGAGCTTATTATTTGCGGATATATATATATAGAGTGTATATACTGCATATGATTTGGGGGGGGGGGGAGATGGCAAATTCCGGTGGCTGCATCCGAAATCAGACGCATGTTCCGTCAGGCTTTCTTATATATATGTAATACGAGGGTTGTTTCACAAGTCTTGCGACTATTTCAAATAGATCCAACACGGTTTGGTCAATTTAAATTTCTTTTTTTTTACTCATTTAACCTCGTCAAGCAGCACAGCATCAGTGCTGTTCAATATACTCTCTGCCAATTTCAATGCACTTTTTCATGCGATAAATACAACGATAAAAACAGTGGCAAATATCAAGTTCAGTCTTGACTTGAGTTTTGCCACTGCAATACACTTTTTCATGCACTTGTTTTTACTCACATAACCTCGTTACGTGGCAACACTTCAGTGCTGTTCAACATATACTCTCTGCCAATTTCAATGAACTTTTTCACGAGATAAATCCAACGATCAAAACAGTGGGAAAAATCAAGTTCAGACTGAAATTTTCCTTGTGCCACTGTTTTGATCGTTGGATTTATCGCAAGAAAAAGTGCATTGAAATTGGCGGAGAGTATGTTGAACAGCACTGAAGTGTTGCTGCGTGACGAGGTACTGTCAGTTTAAAAAAAAATTAAATTGACAAAACCGTGTTGGTCAATTTGAAATAGTCGCAAGACTTATGAAACAACCCTCGTAAATATATACACACACACGTGTCAGGGTTGGTTCATAAGTTTTGAGATTTTCTGAAATAGATCCAACGGAGTTCCATCAATTCCTAATTTTTTTTTAATCGCATAAGTTCATCATTTGGCAACTCTTTAAAGTGTAGTCCGAAATTCTCTCTGCCGATTTCAATGAATTTTTCATATTTGATGAATCCAACGATTAAAACGGTGCGAAAAATCGAGTTCTTTTAATTGATTAAGTTGCTCGTTGACCTAGAAAATGAGGCTGTCCTTGCGTCATCGAAATAATAAATCCCTTCCGGGTCGTTTCTCACTATCGGGAACAATCAGAATAAAAGTCACGCGGTGTCCGAACAATTAACATAACTCGATTTTGTCGCTGTTTTTTAATCATATGATTTATCGCATGCAAAAATGCACTGAAATCGGCGGAGAGACGCATGTTCATCATTAGCACTGAAGTGTTGCAAAATTATGGGGCTATTCCAGTAAAAAACAAACCTCCTTGGAATTCTTGAAATCCCGTTGTATCTCTTTCCAAAAGACTCAAAATTTATGAAGCAACCCTCGTAAATATACCCGCTATTCTTGGCTTGAGATGAGCGTCAAAGAGACGGGGCTCACGAAGATCGAGGGATGGTTCATAAGTTTTCAGACTAATTAAAACGCACAGTTGACGTCTCGAATTGTGAGACGCCATAGATTGAATACCCGTCATATATATTTATACTGTCTATATATGTGTATCGACTGAAATCAATTTACAATCAGCAAATTTAGGTCGAGGGAACAATTTCGTTTTTAAAAGGTCTACATTAATTGGTGTTCTTCCTTTTTTTGTGGGATGTTTTTTTTAGGCCGTGGCTATGGGGAAACGACTGATGTTGCTGCAGTGGAGGCACACGGCTGCTTGGACAGCTTGGTGTCCGTCGAACGACAACGACACTGTCGAGGGTTTCCAAGTTCTGCGGGTACGTGTATATTTGAAGAAGAATGTGATCCTTAGAATTTCAGAAACACGGAAAAACTGCGATCATCTACGAGGTTCCATTATAGCCGGATAACCTACAATTAATCGCACCCAAATCATAGAGAATGAAGGGAACAAAACGGCCTGTATACGCATTTTAATTATTTTTACAACTGCTGTATTCTCCACAGATTCGCGAATTATCCTGAATAATGAATGTTCACATATTTGAGATTTTTCGATGATATCATTTCAGGACATTTTCCATTTAAAAAAAGTTTTGATGCTAATTTTAATAGAATGTCCGAGAAATTCAATTGCCTGGACAAAGGCAATATTAAGTTTCCCTGTGTTGACCTCTTTATTTTTTTAGATATAATTTGTTGGCATAAGCAGAAATCGAAGTTCGAATGTCTCATACACAGGAGACGTTGATCAAAATGGTACAGCGCTTTTTGTGAAATGCGTAATCCGTGATCAAAGTTTGAATATTCCGTCTATTGTGTCAAACGATGTTGTTTTGGTTGATTTCAGATTTCATTATTGGCAATCATCACTGATTTTTGACTTTGCTCTGAGTCATTCCAAATGTTTATTTGCAAATGATCTTTTATGTACAGTATAATACTGTATAAGCAAGCATTCTTTGGGTTTTGTGTCATGATCAAGTCACATCGCAATTCTTCGTAATTTTTCGTATTATTATTACGTTGCCATATACAATTTTTTAAACAAAAAACTGCTGCCATTTCTAACCGACGCTCTTTTTTTTTTTTTCAAATTCGTGTCCGGACTCCGGATTCCGGAACCATGCTCGAAGTGCTAGTCCTCATTAAAAATTCATCAACGACAGAGCCAGAAGATACATTATTTGAAATTAGTCAAGCATTATATATAACGAATTCTGAATAAATAACAAAATGCACACAGACGTCATGCGTGTTCTCTGCCAATTCGCACTCCATGAGATCGATCATGAGGTGAGCAACTCTGCGCGCAAAAACCTCACGGATAGTTAAGCAGGAATGACTAACCGTCCATGAGCTTTTCGTGAGTATACTACTGTGTGTCTATTGTATTGATCTCATGGTGTGTGAATTGGCAGCAAAGAACACGCATATGGCGATTCTTTCTTCTTCCGTGTGCCAATTCCTAAAGTAGTAGTATTTGCTTATTTAAGGGTATGCATATAATGACATTAATGCGTAGAAAGCCACGATAATCCAAAGAAAAATAGTTAGTAAGCATGGATCACGGGTTCTGTTCTCGAATTCGGGGGGGGGGGAATGTATAAAAAAGGAAGATGCATTGTGAGTTCTTTTTTTTAAGCATTTAGTTGACATAGGTAAAATATCACGAATATTTAACAGGAAAGAAAAATTAATAATGAGTAGCTGGTCTGATTGTTGCCGTCTGGCACGAATGCTTTTTGGGTTGAATTTTTTAAAACGTAAGGAAGAAAATTTTCTCTCCAGTGATAGAACCCAGATCATTTTCTTTTTGAAAGAAATGCCCCAAAAGCGAGTTCAGACGTTACAGATGGCAGCAATATATTATTAAATAGATCCTCAACCTTTTTTTTTTTTTTTTTTTTCTCGCGTAGCCCTTTTTTCTGGATAAATATCTGCATCTGAGTCTCACCCAGTAAAATAATGTTTGGTCCTTACCTCTCGAATTACAGAAATGATCATAATTTTCCGGGACGATTTATTGATAATTTTAAATGCTCAAACACAGATCTCACATCATTGTTGCTCAAAAGTGCTATCAATTCATTAAAATTTTATATTGTTTTAAACAGCAGTGGAGCCACACTGAGGACTTTTTGAAGCGCTAGTCGGAAACCTTTAATTTATATTGCAAATTTTTCGATTTTTTATTGCAGATTTTTATGCACTTCTGCTTAGTCTGAATACTGGTACAGTATAATCAAAATATTTAGTTGATGTTGTCACTCAACGTTCGCTTACATCTAGTCGAGTCGAATATTTCAAATGTGTACTTCACGCAGGACAACGCAATAGTTTTGTTTTTAAAAATATGAATATTTATTGTTCATCAAATTCGAATTCAATTTTCGTAAACTGAATAATTTGAATCCATTTCAAACTTCGTTTCTCGTGAATTTTTGCTGGCATGCATGCCTTTCTTCGACTGCATCGAAATGAAAATAAAACTAATTCGTTATTTTCGAATGTGCAGGAGTTCAACTTGCACGACAGTCCGTCGCTGCTGACGCTGATCGACGGCAGTACGACACCCGTGGGCATCCTGTCGGCCGCCTGTGGGCCAGATGTGACCGACAACCGCGTTTGCGTGGCCTACAAGCACCAGTTCGACCTATTGAACGAGCGGACGGGCGAAGCGACGGCGCTGCACACTGTCGACGCGTCGAGGGCGTCGCTCGTCGCCGCCGTCGACGTGTACGAGGACGAGGAGCCAGAGCTACTGCTCTGCTACAATCGTGAGTCATCCTGTCGGAGCACAGGGTTGTCACAGTAATAACAGTATTTGTAAGCTTCACACGCATTTATTCATCGACTAATTTATTTTACAGTATTTGGTTTCAAGTGAGATTTTTCAGCCTTGCACGCCGGGTGGACTTGAGTAATGTCACTCTGCTCGTTGCTTCGTGTAACTCTGTATTTTACTGAATATAGTTCAGTGCAGTGTAAATGAGCTTCGAAGTGCAGAATATACAGTTACATCTTCAAAGGGCCCTTGAATGAATTTTCCCAAATTTTTTTTCTTCTTGTGTTTTTCAAAATTAGACAGATGAGGGATGGCGGCATTTGAGCAGAAATTTCTCTATATAGTCTCTCACCCAGGGTGAATTTCATTAGAATAGGTGAATGCATCATCACATAATTACAGTATTAAGGGATTCCTCTTGAGAAGGCAAACATTTTCCCTTTTTATGCTGTATCTGGTTGATCCAATGCTTCTGGGTGAATGTCAGATTTCTTTTATATTTTTTCCACGTAACTCCAGCTTCCTCTGTTCCAAATTAAATAAGTGCTGTATTCATATTCATATTCATTATGCTATTTACAGCGTGAATAAATTGCGTGAATTACCCGATTGAGAGTTGAGAGTTTATACGAAAACATTTATGCTGATCTTAAACGATGAGGATTTCAACATTTTTTCACGTCATTTTGTGGTGATTTATTTTTTATTCATCTGAATTATTAAAATTAAGGTTTAATAGTATCGAATCCATTTACTGAATTTCAATCGCAAGATGAAAGGCATGATTTTTCATTAAAACTTGTTTCTGGTTTATTCGAAATACAATTGCTTAAAATTCAAACTTTCAGTATATCTGTCAATGCCTATTTTCTTCAGCCAGAATCTTGATGTAAATCGATTTAATTTTCATTGTGGCGGTTTTTAATTTTTCAATGATCGATGATTAATGCAACGTACATATTTTTCCCTCGTCTCATTAACAGACACATGCCATTTCCAGAAACTGAACACGTTGCTTCCCAAGAATAACAAGAGCGAGTTCGACTTCCAATGGACATCGATTCCAGAAGCTATCGGTGCGTTTCTTTCATCAATGAAAAAAAAGAAGTTGAAATTGAGGAAAAGGGAATGTTTGTTTTATTTTTTTTATTTTTGGACAACAGTCTGTGCCTTCCCCTACATCCTTGCTTTTGGTGAAGATTCAATCGAGATCAGGCTGATCGTGAACGGGAACCTCGTTGAGGCCTGCACCTACCCCAAGTTGAAATTTGTTTCTTCGAAAGTGAGTACTGAATAAAATTTTTATTTCGTGTTTTTTTTTCGAATCGAACTTCTTGATCCGGTGTTATTGATCTGCGTCACGATTTCAGAGTGATATTTATTATGCTACAACTGCGCCGGAATTCTTTCCGCCGCGTGGGGACCATATTGTCAAAGAGGATCGATCTGACACCAACAAATCTTCCCGCGACAGCAGCATTTCTCCGCCAATTTCTCCCGGAGTCGGTGAGAAATATTATAAAAGTAAATTTCTGTATCACTTTTCCCCACCTCAGTATCCTGAAAGAAAAAAAAAAAACCTTGACAGAAGCGCCCTCTTCAAACGAGGCCTCATACTTGAGATGACAAGAAATTACTGTGTCGAGAAAGTTTTCAAATATTTACTCGAGTATTCGAAATATTTATCGTTTTTACTCGCGTGCATTTTTTTCGAAATGAAGAAGGGAAAAAGAGGGATTGCGTCATAGGTGGGTCGAATATTTTTTATCATATTGTAAAGCTTTTCTGCCTTTCATAATGGAATCCGACGGGGTTTCTTTAAACATAGTTCTATTGAAAATTCAAAGATAATGGAAATGATGAAAACTTGATATCGAAATTAACTGAAATTCAAATCGAAATTTAAATATTGATGAATATAATTTTCAAAATATTTCGATTTTCAGGTATGGGGATACATTTTAATCCAAATTTTAGATTGAAAATTCAAGTGCGGGCTTCATTCGAGGGCGGTGCGTGATACTCGAGTAAATATGGTATCGCAAATGGTCGTACTTCGTTTAGAATGCGTAGATGACACTCGCAGTCACATGGTTCCTCACAAAGATATCCGTCTCTTTCATGTAACTCTATAAATATGGACAGTGCCAAAACATAGCGGGTGAGGGTAGATTTGATTCACGGAGGCTTTAAATAAAATTATTCCGAGTAATTTAAAACATTTCACATGGTTCATAACCTTTTTAAACCCTCTAAAAAACATTCACAGGGTTTCAAAAGAAATTTAAATTAGAGTTAAACTTCAGGAATACAGTCGATAGCCTGATAAAACTCTTCGAGAGATTGGAAATCGTCGGACAATTTTGCAGTTCATTACGCTTGTAACGCATAGTTGTAGCGTTGAAAGAGGACGCTGAAAATTCCGAAATATTGTGCTGGAATCTAAATTTTTCTCCCTCTAGAAAAACCAATTTCCAATTGTTTAAATCCCCATCAACTTCCATTCCATTCTGATGAGCCAAAACCCGGGTCCGTCAAATTTTAAACTTCTGTATGTACTGGAGAAACGCTAAAAGTTGCACGGAACATGGTCTTGTCAGCTCATTCTGTCCTCATCACAAATTTTTCTATATTTCTGTCCTGGACCCACTCAATATTCCCTGTATTAAATATACTGCATGATAATAAGCACAATAAGAACTTCTCGAACCTGTCATGATATTTTCTGCCGCGAGAGCGTGATGATGCGCTCGCTAGTCTCGAAGAACGCGTCAATGATTTAAAACGTTTTTCGTGCGACATCTAGTGGGTTCGTCAACGGGCGGCAAGCCATTCCGCTTGTACAAAATCCCGATGTCGCACCTGACGCGCGGAGCTCCGCACCACCCGAACGCCGACAGGTGCCCGTCGCCAGCACCGCCTACGACCCCGAAACCCTTCCCGGGCCAGGAGCGCGGCCCCTTCAAAAACGGTCGCTACTTGGCTCCCGGCGGCGGGTCCTCGCCGACGGCGTCCCCGTTCCCGAAGATGGGCGCCACTCGGAGCTGTGGCACGTCTCCCGTGCCCCACGCCTTGTCCCACCACGCCAGTGAAGTGGACGAGGAGGACGAAGACAGGGATCGATTCCGCGAACAGCTCCGGGCCTCGGAGGACTACTTTTTCGCCGACTCTGGCCGCTGTGGCCCGCTCAAGGAGGAGAACGAAAACTGATTTCTGGTCATGATCCTCATTTTTTCATTCGTTCCTTCATGATTAACTATATACCGTACCTGCTTATTTGACTCATTGATCTGGTCCTGCCCTCACAAAGCAGGGAAAAAAGGCTTTCCTCTAAGGTGCACTCGCTCTCTTTCTCTCTCCTTCTAAAGTTGATTTCATTCAACAGAAGAATGTTTTTTTTTTTTTTTTGCGAACCAGAGGTTCTGGTCGGTCGGGCTCTTGAACCCGAGGTTCGATCGTAATGCGTAAATGTTATGAACATGCGTGGGATTGGTTCATAAGTTTTTCAGCTGCCTGTTTTATTTTTTATTTGTATTTGTCTTGATTGATGTAGGATCAACTTGTCAAATTGATGAACCTTTGGATTGAAATTGATAAACTGAAGTTCAGAACGTCACGAGAAAAAATGAAAAATTCCTCGACGAAGCTTTCGCGAAAACTTTCTCGGTTTTCGTGGTTTTTTTCAGTGTAAAAAACTTTAATTTTTTTTACATATTTGAATTTAAGAACTTCTTGAATTGCAAGCCGGTCAGCGATTGAATATATTCGTATAATTGCAAACATTGACGTATGCTTAATGCTTCATTTCTTTCAATTAATCCGCTATGGAGGGGTGTTGAATGTAAAAATCTTGAATATTAAAAAAAGAATTATACTTGAAGGACTTTTTAAATCACTGACAGTACTCATGAACCATTTCTTAAATATTTGATCCCATTCATCGGATTTCTGTTTTTCATGTATACAGGAAAGGCACAACTTTTTAGCTCTGCTTGCTTCAAAATATCAAGTGTCCGCTTCAAATAAGAAATTGTTGATCAGTTTCTGAAATATTTCAACTATTTGACGCAAATGCAGTGACGAAACGAGACTTTTAATCTGGCTTGACATTGAGGCAGAATCTCCTGTGACTCATTGTTTTCAGCATTCCAAGACGATGGCAGTTTACTGAATCTCTTTCTAGTTATTAAAAAATGTTAAAGAAAAATATATGTACAGCAAGTTTTGTTCATTTTAATTTTTTAAATTCGAATTTTTGTCGTTCGAACACGTAATTCCGGAGAAAATATTTTTAATGTCACTGATTTTTCTCTACTCGATGTTTCGCTGGAATTGTGTGGTTAAAAGTGGTGTAAGCATGTTTCGAACATTCTCCCCCAATGTTCAAGAAGGATGTTAGGTAAATGTACGTCTTTTTTTCTGAAAAATTTTTTGGAATTTGGCACGGATTGTGTGCTGGGACCAGAGTGTGAGAAAATCATTATGAAAATTGACGCAAGTGGCATTGGTAGCATTTTTTAAGGCTATTTTGCTTGACGTATGTTCCGCCGGTTATGAGTATGCTGTTTTTTTTCTTTCGAGGCGTCGTTTTGACGGATTTATTTTGTTGCAAAATCCGGTATTCTCTTTTTCTCTCTGCTTCTTTTAAAGCTTTATTTATTCTCGTGAGGTTATCATATCGGATGAATGGAAGGGAAATTTCCGGAAGGGTTGAGTTTGGATATGATGCACACAATTCAAGAGACAATACTGTTTGCCAAAGATGTTGTGCGGTTGGACGTTTTCATCCCCGGCTTGAGACGTGTGAGATTTTTGCTAATTTTTTGGAATGCAATTCGCAGCAAATTTCCTAAGAGAAAAAGATCCATTTCTCCGTTGTCCGTTTTTTTTTCAGCTTGCTTCGGAAAAAAATTAAAGCGAGCAAAACTCTCTCTCTCTCTCTTTTTTTTTATTACATTATTCGTCTGCGTGGACAAAATTGTAGGTGGCATTTTTGGCGCGTACGCTGTAAATTATTGATTGATTGTTGGATGATTGAATTATTGATACAACGCGTTTGTTTGCTTGGCTTTTGTTTTTGGATCTCGTTGTCATCGTCGTCATGTCGATCTTGGAGTGAAGCTGAGATGATATCGTTGTTTGTTTTGGTAACCATGATGTGATTTTGAGCTTGATGAGCCCTCCAAGTGTGCAACTCCTTGCGGCGGCGGGCGACCTTTTTCCTTCCTGTTCCTCGAAAACAAAAACAAAAAAATACCCCCTTGATCGTCAATATGATCTTTGCTTTCTTCTAGTAAAACTCAATTATTGTTTGTTTGGTTCCCCACATTTCATGTACAGTACCTTCTTCCAAATTTGTGTTTTTCTGCTATGTAATCCTTCCTGACTTTATGCTGTTCTCAACGTTGCCAGACAGACAAGCGAGTCCAGTGTCCGAAGCAGCGCGTGTCCAGAAACAAACAGCAAAAGTATAAAAGATCAGCAGAAGAGTGAAAAAATAATAATACGAGGGTTAGTTTGAAAGTCTTCATAGTTTTGCTGTCTTTCTTGATAAGCACTGTCTATGAAGGGTGCAGGTGGATTTAAAATTCACAACGCAATATTTGATCATTTCCTGGTTGTTCTTGAAAATTTTCATCATTCAATTGAAATTGGGAAAAGATAGAAAAGGTGGAAAAAGCCGGGGTATGAGACGTATACTGTAAACAAGTACTGCATACTTGTACGTGACTCGGTAAAATTGCTATGGATTTCATTACAGTCTAAGTGCCACAAAATAATGAGCATGCTTTTTCGGAGATGACTTCTTGCAATGATATCATATACGTACTTGTATGCGTCAAAACGATTTTCCACAAAGTTTAAAAAAAAAGGCTTAATTGCAGAAGTGTTTGAGCTTGTGGTGCTGATGCTGGATGCAAAGATTTCTCTAAAAAAAATTCAATTAGTGAGAAAGACGTTTCCGAATTATTAGAGCAGAATAAACTTTGACTTGAAACAGTCGTCTCGTTGCTGCCGGACAATTACGCAGATTATAGTCACCTATTGATGAATTACATCAATAAGATCTTTAGCGCCACTACCCGATGATGTTTTGATGATTTTTTTCGGAGATGAAATGTCTTCCAGTTTGTTTTCACGTCAACAACATTCACTGCTCATATTCTCGACACGTGCTGTTTTTACACATGTTGCTTTTGGGTCATGTCCTCATGATCGACTGACTGACTATACAAGTACTGTACAGTACTTCTGTTGAGAAGCTCTTCACGATAAGGAATTCCAAATTTTACTTCTTTCCGGCTTCTGTCAGAAAATCTCTCTCTAGTCTACGTCCTGCTTCAGCTGAACCTGCCGGAACTCATTTTTGATGTGCATCCCTGTGATTGTTGTTACCAACAATTTCGAGTGCGTGAGCGGTTTTTTGCATTGGATGAGGGCAAATATTATTCGCGGGTTGGGCGAGCATTATAAAAGCAGCATTTGTGTTTTGTCGTTTTACCCAAAACCTGGAACGTGACACGAATTAAAATTGGGAATCATTCAATGGCACGCGGAAATGATGAGTGAGCATGAATAAATACCTGGATAATTCTACTGCTGTATAGTTGGATTGCTTTTGAATCTCAATCTTGTGGGAACATGAAACGACAGGTGTGACATCTACTTTGTAACATGGAAAGAGAACAAGGTTTTGGGAGAAGATCATTTCAGTTTCACTCGCATGTTTTTTTCCGAGTGTTCACAAAGAGAAAACTTAAAAAACAAATATTTCAAGGCTGAGTGCTAAGTTTTTCTGACCTTGACAAGGAAAATTAATGGTAAGCATCTTTAGCCGGATACAGAGTTGAGTGAATATAATAAAGCAAATAATGCCACAGCTTATGAAATATAGTTCAATAATAAACTGGGCTTTACCGTGTTGAATGAGACAAAAAAGGAGGAGGTTTGGCAATTCAGGTTGCAAGCCTGTAGTGTGAAAAGTTTAGAAAATTGGTCTATAGGAAAAGATGGATGAAATAGTTCAATAATAAACTGGGCTTTACCGTGTTGAATGAGACAAAAAAAGGAGGAGGTTTGGCAATTCAGGTTGCAAGCCTGTAGTGTGAAAAGTTTAGAAAATTGGTCTATAGGAAAAGATGGATGAATACCAGAAGTTTAGCAAAGTGCAGAAGAAAAAGAAAAATAACTGCTGACTTGTTTTACAGCTTCCACAGTTTTTATTATTTTGTCTGCATTCCGGTTTCGGCCGGTTCACTGGTTCTCCAGCATTCCCGGGTTCGAGGGCTTCTATGGTTTTACATATTAGTAGAAAAGGCGTCGCCAAATACGCGCTGGAGTAAGTAGCACATAAAGTAGGAAAGTAGCTAATTCAATGGAAGTAGTTTTTTTGGTCGTAACGCAGTGAGCTGGGGCGAGAGTGACCACGGCCTTTTTAATCTGAGCTAGTCTTTCCCTGTTCTTCCGTGCGATGTCCCAAAGCCGGAAGAAAAAGAAATAGTCCTTCTCATGCAGGAAAAACCCCTTCCGTGGAACGTCTACAACTTTTGCAGCCCCAGATCTCAACACAAGTTTTGGAAAAACTCAATCATCTCGTCCGAAAAAAAAGTGCTGCTGCATTTGAATGATCCTAAGCCGAGGTACATCAGAGAAAACAAAAATGAGCGGTCAGCACACATTGAAAAGTTTCGCGTGGAATGCGCTCAACAACACACTCCTTCCGTAAAACGCTTATAAGGATAAAGAGAAAGAGAGGGAGAAAGAGAGCGAGCGTTAAAAGAAAAAGAAAGTAAAAAAAGAGCAAAACAAACACACTGTCCCTAGGAAAACGAACTTCTTTCGACTCCGACAGAATTTGTTTGAGTCGATTGCAGAACCGGGGAAAGTCTCGAGCCGGACCTTCAAGAGATCGCAAAATAAATCTCGCTGATGGCAACTTGTTCACATCTCAAATTGCAGGATCATTGTTATTTAATTCCCTGTCGCTCTTTTCTTTTTTTTTTTCGTGTGCACGTAAAAACACGCTAGGATCACTCATACCTGGTACTTTGTCCCTCGTCGCAAGTACAAACGCGCGTCTCGCTTGCTGAAACATAACCCCACCCCCACCCACAACGAAAATAAACCTGAGCTGAAAAGGTTTCCTAGGCCTACTCGACGGGTACTTTACTTTATTCTTCTTCTTCTTTGTCTCCATACGCCGTCATTGACTCAACTCTGTTCCTCCTCCTCAACTCCAATTCTGGCATTCACCCACAACTCATTGCTGGCGACTTCCATCTCAGGAATCGATACATTCAAGCAAACAACGCAACACAAGCTACACTTTGCGGCTTTGCCTCAATTATAAAAGGGGTTCTTCTTCTTTGCCTTCTACAAACTCACGTCCTTGACTTCGGGAACATCCGTTAGGAGTCACTGGAATATCCGACAAGACCAATCAACAAATTCAAAGAAAATGAAACCAAATAAATCTTCACAAAATCTAAGCAAATCAATCCGAACTGAGTGACGAACTTTTCTTTCGAAAAATTAACTGAATTAAATACATAAGGTACCTATACATCGGATAAAATCACTTGTTCAGGGCTTCACGAGCTCTGACTAAAAAAAACATCTTTCTCAGCAGAAGCCTCTCAAAGAAGAGCACGCCTTCAGATATCATCAAAAATAAAATATTATACTGCGATAAGCGCTGAAAGCTGATGTTGATACTGTACTAAGCCTATTTAATTTTGAAGCACAAAAAAAAGAGAAATCAGTGATCCCGGGGATCGCACACGAGGAATGCAAGGAAAATATCAATTTCGCTGAGATGGAAGTCACCGTAACTAATGCAGTGCACCCACGAAACACAGTGGTAGAACACACATAATTCGACACGTTTTCTTGGGGGGGAGGGGCAATAATAAGGAAAGGGTGCGGCAAAAAAAAACAACTCAGAAGGGAACCGTAAGCATGAACACAACAAGCATTTGCACATCACGAAAAAATCCGAAACACGGCCCGGGGCGAACAACGCTTCCAACAAAACAAAATCGTACAACCAGAGGAGAATCGTGTGATTTTTTCTTTTCTCCTCTTATCTTCCTCTTCTCCGATCAAAAATGACAGCCAGCGCGCTTTGGGATGACGGGCAAAAAACGAGTCGGTGGAAGTGCATGAGAAAACAAATATCCCGAATCAGCAGAAATCAAAAAACTTTCTTCCTTCTTCATCACTTTTCTTCCTTTTCTTGGGAAAACAGAAACAAACAAAAAAGAAATACTTGTAAAAGAGACAAACTGTCGACGCTTTTTTAGTTCTTCCCCCGCGAAAAAGAAAGGAATTTTCCCGAATAAAAACCAAGGAGAACGTTGTGAGACAAATCTTCACTTTTTCCCTCCAGCAATGAAACCAAAAGAGCGCCTGCCAAAAAAAAATTTGTTTTCCCTTCCGATACTTGCGCTCATTTGTTCTCCCAAAGGCGTCCGTTAATTTTTTTGCTTGCTTACTTGCTTATAGCACAGTCTTCTCCGCTCGTACCTGCTTCGAAACACTCCCATTTTCGCTACACTTCTTCTTCTTCTTCTCCTGCTCCTCCTCTTCCTGCTTCTCCTCTTCTCGGTTTCTTTAATGTATTCGTCCTTTCTCTCTCTCGAACTCCTCCAATTTATATATACAAACACGCCACACGGTCTTGCCTAAACTTCTCGAGCGTCCTTATTGTGCCTATAAACCAGAGAGTACCACAATCAGTTTTCATCCTGTCAAGGGGAATAGAAAGGAAAAACGCCTGGAGAATTCAAGAAATTGTATCCCAAACCCAAGAACATCTTTGAAATTTAGTTCCTTCGTTTAATAACTTAGGATCACAAATAGCACTCAGCGGGTATGCACACCAAGTTTTATTACATCGCACTTCTGAGCTTGTTACTTAACAACTAGCGTTGGATTTGCAAAAATCAGCACAACAATTAGTAGACGATTGGGGAAGGGAATTGCCTTTAAAAACAGTTATTTCTTAGGCATCACCAACGCTCAAATGTTCCAGACTCCAAGATTTTCTGAACTCATACATAAGAGTCANTTCGTCCTTTCTCTCTCTCGAACTCCTCCAATTTATATATACAAACACGCCACACGGTCTTGCCTAAACTTCTCGAGCGTCCTTATTGTGCCTATAAACCAGAGAGTACCACAATCAGTTTTCATCCTGTCAAGGGGAATAGAAAGGAAAAACGCCTGGAGAATTCAAGAAATTGTATCCCAAACCCAAGAACATCTTTGAAATTTAGTTCCTTCGTTTAATAACTTAGGATCACAAATAGCACTCAGCGGGTATGCACACCAAGTTTTATTACATCGCACTTCTGAGCTTGTTACTTAACAACTAGCGTTGGATTTGCAAAAATCAGCACAACAATTAGTAGACAATTGGGGAAGGGAATTGCCTTTAAAAACAGTTATTTCTTAGGCATCACCAACGCTCAAATGTTCAAGACTCCAAGATTTTCTGAACTCATACATAAGAGTCACCTGAATTGTGTAAGGATGACTAACTTGAGAAATGGTAAGCGAAGCTCTCTAGAATAAATAAATTCATGGGAATTAGGTGAGATTATTTCATTTTTGATCAAGTTAATTTTCGGTTCGGGTGGTGTTCCAGACAACATATACACCTGTACCTCAAACGAGCAAATGTTAAGCATTGAAGCAAAAAAAAAGGCCGCTACTCATGTATAAACTCAAAAGTCATGAGAATCATGACACAGGAACAGAATTTTAGTGAAAAATAAAGCATGGCAATTTTCTAATCTAATGCATACAGACTCAAACAAAATTGCCTCGTGTTCTTTTTTCCTCTATGACATTTGATAAATGGGTGACACCAACATTTGAAATTCAAGACTATGCTGGGGCGTTGAAGTTACAAAAAAAGACAACGAGTTTACTCGAAAGTAATTCAGGTATTTTTTAAAATGGGCAATTTGAATTGGAGATAATGATTTTCTGACAGATTTCCATTCCTCTCTTACCATTTGCACGCTTCAATAAATCACGTGATATTATCTGAAATTTGTGAAAAACAAATTAACGTAGCCTTAGTCCTTTTCGCGTAAATCACGTGATATTATCTAAAATTTGTGCAAAACAAATCAGCGAGTGGCCGTAGTCCTTTTCTCGTACTTCTGCGATCATGATCACAAAAATTCCCGCTCTTTTTCTGTCTTTCTTTTACAAGCAGAGAAGTCTTTCCAAATGAAAGAAAAAAAGGAGAGAGAGAAATCAATTTTTTTTGACAAAGTAAGTTCAGGAATTGAACTGACCTGGAATTGCTGGAGCAGATAGGCGCCAAGCATATATTGATTGATTGTTATATATTGATTGATTGTTAGATGATTGAATTATTGATCGTTGTAGATGCGTTTGTTCGCTTGGCTTTTGTTTTCGGATCTCGTCATTGTCGTCGTCGTGTCGATCTTGGAGTGAAGCTGAGATGATATCGTTGTTTGTTTTGGTAACCATGATGTGATTTTGAGCTTGATGAGCCCGCAAAGTGTGCAACTCCTCGCGGCGGTGGGCGACCTTTTTCCTTCCTGTTCCTCGAAAACAAAAACAAAAAAATACCCCCTCGATCGTCAATATGATCTTTGCTTTCTTCTAGTAAAACTCAATTATTGTTTGTTTGGTTCCCCACATTTCATGTACAGTACCTTCTTCCAAATTTGTGTTTTTCTGCTACGTAATCCTTCCTGATTTTATGCTGTTCTCAACGTTGCAAGACAGATGAGCGAGTCCAGTGTCCGAAGCAGCGCGTGTCCAGAAACAAACAGCAAAAGTATAAAAGATCAGCAGAAGAGTGAAAAAATAATAATACGAGGGTTAGTTTGAAAGTCTTCGTAGTTTTCCTGTCTTTCTCGATGAGCACTGTCTACAAAGGGTGCAGGTGGATTTAAAATTCACAACGCGATATTTGATCATTTCCTGGTTGTTCTTGAAAATTTTCATCATTCAATTGAAATTGGGAAAAGATAGAAAAGGTGGAAAAAGCCTGGGTATGAGACGTATACTGTAAACAAGTACTGCATACTTGTACGTGACTCGGTAAAATTGCTATGGATTTCATTACAGTCTAAGTGCCACGAAATAATGAGCATGATTTTTCGGAGATGACTTCTCGCGATGATATCATATACGTACTTGTATGCGTCAAAACGATTTTCCACAAAGTTTAAAAAAAAATGCTTAATTGCAGAAGTGTTTGAGCTCGTGGTGCTGATGCTGGATGCAAAGATTTCTCTAAAAAAAATTCAATTAGTGAGAAAGACGTTTCCGAATTATTAGAGGAGAATAACCTTTGACTTGAAACAGTTGTCTCGTTGCTGCCGGACAATTACGCAGATTATAGTCACCTAATGATGAATTACATCAATAAGATCTTTAGCTCCACTACCCGATGATGTTTTGATGATTTTTTTCGGAGATGAAATGTCTTCCAGTTTGTTTTCACGTCAACGACATTCACTGCTCATATTCTCGACACGCGCTGTTTTTACACACGTTGCTTTTGGGTCATGTCCTCATGATCGACTGACTGACTATACAAGTACTGTACAGTACTTCTGTTGAGAAGCTCTTCACGATAAGGAATTCCAAATTTTACTTCTTTCCGGCTTCTGTCAGAAAATCTCTCTCTAGTCTACGTCCTGCTTCAGCTGAACCTGCCGGAACTCTTTTTTTTATGTGCATCCCTGTGATTGTTGTTACCGACAATTTTGAGTGCGTGAGCCGTTTTTTGCATTGGATGAGGGCGAATATTATTCGCGGGTTGGGCGAGCATTACGAAAGCAGCCTTTGTGTTTTGTCGTGTTACCCGAAACCTGGAACGTGACACGAATTAAAATTGGGAATCGTTCAATGGCACGCGGAAATGATGAGTGAGCATGAATAAATACCTGGATAATTCTACTGCTGTATAGTTGAATCGCTTTTGAATCTCAATCTCGTGGAAACATGAAACGACAGGTGTGACATCTACTTCGTAAAATGGAAATAGAGAATAAGGGTTCGGAAGAAGATCATTTCAGTGTCACTCGCATGTTTCTTTTCCAAGTATTCACAAAGAGAAAAGTTAATCAATCAAACACAAATATTTTGAGGCCGAGTGCCAAGTTTTTCTGACTTTGACAAGGAAAATTAAGGGTAAGCATATTTAGCGGGATACAGAGCTGAGTGAATATAATAAAAGCAAACAATGCCACAGCACATGAAATATAGTTCAATAATGAACTGGGCTTTACCGTGTAGAATAAGACAACAAAAGATGAGGTTTTGCAATCCAGGTTACAAGCCTGTAGTGTGAAAAGTTTAGAAAATTTGTCTATAAGAAAAGATGGATGAAAACCAGAAGTTTAGCAAAGTGCAGAAGAAAAAGAAAAGAAATGCTGACTTGTTTTACAGCTTCCACAGTTTTTATTATTTCGTCTGCATTCCGGTTTCGGTCGGTTCACTGGTTCTCCAGCATTCCCGGGTTCGAGGGCTTCTATGCAAAATGTATAATCATCTTTTCCGCAGCGGTTTATTCGCAACCTCATTCATCGTGTATTTCATCCTTTCATCGATTAAGTTACCTTCATCAAAAAAACCAGCATTGCATCACTCGACCCCGCTCTCAAACCACCGCCTTTTTAATCTGAGCTAGTCTTTCCCTGTTCTTCCGTGCGACGTCCCAAAGCCGGAAGAAAAAGAAATAGTCCTTCTCATGCAGGAAAAACCCCTTCCGACAAAATGTATAATCATCTTTTCCGCAGCGGTTTATGCGCGACCTCATTCATCGTGTATTTCATCCTTTCATCGATTAAGTTACCTTCATCAAAAAAACCAGCATTGCGTCACTCGACCCCGCTCTCAAACCACGGCCTTTTTAATCTGAGCTAGTCTTTCCCTGTTCTTCCGTGCGACGTCCCAAAGCCGGAAGAAAAAGAAATAGTCCTTCTCATGCAGGAAAAACCCCTTCCGTGGAACTTCTACAACTTTTGCAGCCCCGGATCTCAACACAAGTTTTGGAAAAACTCAATCATCTCGTCCGAAAAAAAAGTGCTGCTGCATTTGAATGATCCTAAGCCGAGGTACATCAGAGAAAACAAAAATCAGCGGTCAGCACACATTGAAAAGTTTTGCGTGGAATGCACTCAACAACACACTCCTTCCAATTTTGCGAATATTCCTATTTCTCTTTCTCTCCCTCTTTCTCTCGCTCGCAATTTTCTTTTTCTTTCATTTTTTTCTCGTTTTGTTTGTGTGACAGGGATCCTTTTGCTTGAAGAAAGCTGAGGCTGAGAATTTGTTTGAGTCGATTGCAGAACCGGGGAAAGTCTC